AGAGAGAGAGAGAGAGAGAGAGCGAGAGAGAGCGGGTGTCTTACAGCGCGCGCGCGGCGCGTCGTATCGGAACGAGATTTAGTGCATAAAGGTCGTAACTCACGACGCACGTGAACGCTTTAGGGGATAAGAGGCGGGAGGAAGGAGTCGCCCGGGCCGCGCAGCGGGGCGTCTTTAGAGAGGAGAAAGAAATGTTTCGGTTAAGGTTTGTCCACGCCTGTAGAGGGGAATTTGGGGGTGGGGGAGGGGTGACCGAAGAGGAGCACTGCGGCGGGGCTCGGGGACGAGGAAGCGCGCGGGTCGGCTTTCTGAAACTAGTTACCGAGAAGGCCGTGGCACTGGTCCTATCAGGCAGACACCGGCACACCCTCTTCGTCCCCTGACAGGCAGGCACCTCTCTCGCTCTCACCCCTCTCCCCAAAACCCCCTCCTCCACTTCAAACCGGGTCGAGAGCGGCTGGGGCAGAGAGAGGGAGAGAGGGGGGGGGGGGATTCCTCTCTAACGCCATCAAATATTCATCCACCAAAGCGTAAACTAATTGCCCCTTTTGATTGGCTGATTCGCCACGTCTCTACGTCTCTCCTGACCTTTATTCTCTCCGTTCTCTCTGTCTCTTGTCTCTCTCCTTCTCTCTATTCCTCTCTCACCCCCCCTCTCCTGTTTCACTCCCTTTCCCCTTCCCCCCTCCCCTCTCTCTGTCGGATCCACCCTTCATTCCAGCAGGCTCTGGCTCCGGGTATCTCCCGCGCCTCCCAACTTCCGAAAACTCGTAATATATGATTGATTGTCCGTTCCAGAGCCCTGCCAGAGCCCCCTAGCCCCCCCCCCCTCTCCTCTGCTGCGACCTGCGCCCGCCTGCGCCGCGCCCTTCGGTCTCACTTAGCTAATCTTGCTTCTCGCAAGCGTTGTCTTCCCCCGCCCTCCTCCTTCTCCTCCCTCTCGCGACTGCCTGGCTGCCCACGCCAGCCCGGCCCGGCAGCAGCACGGTCCGCGAGCTTTGAATAATTTCCGAGCCGAAGGGCCGAGCCTCTGGCGCTAATGATCGGACCTCGGACCGGCGCGCCGATGTACGTGTCGCTCTCGCGGGCGTGCCGTCCGGGACCGTCCCGGCAGTAAAAGAATCCCCATAGCGGCGAGGAAAATCAGAAGGATAGACTGACGTAGAGGTGGGTGGGTGTGATGTGAATTGCGCCTTCAGTCAGCGCCGTTCAGCGCCATCTCCCCAAAACTCACAGTCCTCCTGCGCCTCGGGATCACTGGTAAAAGAAAGGTGCTAAGTCGTGCCTTTCCTGGGGCACACATTTTCAGTTTATGTTAGCCTCACAAAGGCTCTTAACAGGGCACTAAACTGCCCAAAAGGTGCTAAAAATCAGTGCCTTTGTCAGTTTCAGTTGCCTTTGTAAAAGGCACTAAACCGCTAGTGCCTCGTCAAGGTAGGAGTTAGTACATTTGTTTTCCCGGTGATGCTTTACGGACAAGCCTGGGATTGGCGATCTCGAAGTGCAGCACATGCGCGAGTACAAAAGCCAGATCTTCAGGGAATACCAAATTTACAATTTAAAATATATATGAAAATTTGCATTGTTTTGCAGTAATAATAAAAATAATAATGTAGAAATGACGCAAATGAGTTGTGCACGCATCACTACCCTCGACCCCCCGCCCCCTCGCTGCCGGCCGCCCTGCCAGCACGACTCAAACGTTGTTATCGGCCAAAAGGCGGCGAGCAGAGCCAAATAAATCTCGCCAACTTGACAATTTAACTTTGCAGGATTACGCACGCTCCCGAATTCGGGTCACGTCTCGCTCCGGCGCTGAGGGGCCGCTGCCAAGCCCCCCTCCTCTCTGTTGCCCCCCTGCAGCCCCTGCAGGCCCCGGAGCGGCCCCCCTCCCCACCGCGTCCTGATCGCTGATCCAGGAAAGGTCAAGCGCCTCGGCTGCTGCCGGCTCGTGTGCGGCGGCGGGGCAGACGCAGATGCGGCGTACACCCCCGCCCCGCCCTGCCCCGCCACTCTCCCATGCCCGCACACACCGAGTCCCGCCAGCAGGGCTCTCTCTGCTTTGGGCCAAACTCTATTCTTTGCAGGCTGCACCGTCACACTGAACAGCTCTCATATCGGCATGCCCGCCCCACCCCCCTTTTAGCCCGCACCAGCCACAGCACCGGCCCCCACAGCTAGGGCTGGGCGGTTTTTCAATATATTGACCTCAATATCAATATTTTTAAATATTGAAACCAATATTTTTACATATTGATGTTTTCAATATTCCGAAATCAATATTCAATATTTGAATATTGAACCCAAAAGTCAATATTGAAATATTGAGTCAGATTTCCAGCTCTAAAATATTTGATTATCGCGTGATGTTGTCCCTTTTTGTTGTATATCGTGTGAAATTGCCTCTTTTATAAACCGCACGGTGCAAGAGTAGACGATTTCTGCCTCTGACAAGGCCAGA